AAACAAATTTTATAACTAATTATGAAAAAAAAATTATCACTTTAATGGATAATTTTCATGTAAAACAAAGTCAAACGAATACAAAAAGATTCAAAATTTTAAAATTTTCGAGGTGGAAAATTATACTAATAACACATTTAATTAACAATTCCCTGAAAAACAATTTCTAGGCAATTACTTTTTTTGTAATTCATTTTCTTTCCACCCATTTTTTACACTTACAATCAAACGGACTCTTAAAGTAGCTTTGGAATAACCCTGAACGGGAAATAGAATTAGGGTCAGGCCCATCGATCTAATTTTGATTTACGATTGGATTTTAAATAAAAAAATAACATTTGAGGTGAAGTAGATTTTGGGACTAGTTATAGTTATTTTGTTTATATATAAAAGTTGGCTTAATTTTTTTAAAGAAAATTATGGATAGTAACGAGTTATAAATTTTATAGGTGTCCACTTTTTTGGTCCACAAATTTTGGAGTTATTATTCAAAATGTCTATGTAATTCGTCGAATTTACTGATCCGAAATTGAAATTTTGAAATTGTTCATAGTGGTAGACAATATTATTAATGGTAATGAAAAAACTAAAACTTTATTAATTGATAGATTGAATCTAGTACAAAACGTCAAACTTATCTTTAGTATTTCCTATATCTTTCAAGTTAGACCCAATAATAATTTGGACGACTCGAGACTTTTTATTACACGGTAGTGCTTACAAGCTCAGTAGATTAAAAGATGATCATATTTTAAATTTTCTTCATTTCATGTAACAATGTAGATCTAGAGGGATAAACTATCGAATATCAATCATTAAAAAGCAACCTAGTATGCTCATTAAGTGACAAGAACATAAATGCAAAATCAGAAAAATCAAGTATGAATGTAACATACTCGATGTTTACTTATTTGTAGCCTTTATTACATTAGAATATAGAGATGGACAAAAAATGAAAAAGAACTATTTAAAACATATTCAAAACTATCCTTCGTCTCCTAATTTTAGAAGTTGACGATGGAAACTAAACAATGCCAAAACATAATTTTCACTACTTAGTATTACATAAAATCCCATTAGTCGCCGAGGAAGTGGTCCGTATACACGCTCAAAAAAGTGGACATTGTAATATTCCACGTGATAGTAAGTCCTCATGTAGCATTAAAGTTCGGGACATCGAACGTAATAGCACCAAGTAGGGACCTCTGTGTCAGCATATACCTTGATTCATCGTCCAATCTCTTCCAAGACCGTGAAGTTATCTCTGAATAGCATTTCGACATTTTACTAAAAAGAGAAGATTAAAAAAATTATGAGAGTAATTTCATTGAATAAAATATGGTGCAATCGTGTGTGGTTTTGTATGTTCAAGTGTAGGTCTCTACGGTCCTCGAATCGTACCCGTACAACACAAATGAATGGCTAGGTTTCAACACACAAAAATCCTAGCGGAAATAATTCTATCTTTTCCATTTCTTCATGTCTTTTTTTAGGTCGATCGTGCATGATCTTTGTGTTGAAATCTTAATGTTTCACTCGCTGAAACCCAAAACCATCCATCAGGGTAAAACTTATGACCATCCAAAAGTGGCTACTCAAACTGTCAAAACTTATTTTCAGATCTAAAGAATGATACAAACTATTGTTTCAAAAAGCTTATGGAGAATTTCCATCAACTTTCCCCTCATAGTTATCGTTTTCTCTATTAGATATTCTAAAAAGATTGAAGAATTTTTATATATATTTTCGAATAAAAATTAAATGCAAGATAATCTAGTAGTGTCAAAATGGATAGACAGTCCAAACTCATTAAAAGATTTGATCATAACTAGCTCAACTTTCCGAAGATCAATTCATGGGTTGATTCGCCCATTATGGTAGGAACGTTGAGCTAGTTGACTTGATTTATTTAAAAGCGTTTTACTACTAGCAGTAAGGGTCCGTTTGATTGTAAGGATGGAAAATGGATGGAAAGAAAATATTTTATAGGGAAAAGATTTTTCTAAAAAATGTTTTCTTGGAAATTGTAATTAATTGTGTTTGATTGGTATAATTTTCTACCTGAAAAATGTTGAAAGTTTGGTGTCCGTTTGGCTTCTTTTTT